GGTGCGTCGGCGACGACCCCTCGGCCTTTGGGGGAGGGGGCGCCGCTGAGATGGGGGCGGCGGCGGCGGAGGCGGATCGCACCCTCTTTGTGGGCAACCTGGAAACTAAAGTGACGGAGGAGCTGCTGTTCGAGCTGTTCCACCAGGTAGGCGGCGGGGCTGAGCCTCTTCCTTTCGTTTGGCGACCGCGCAGGGCCCGGCCCAACGGCTCTCCCCACTTCTGCGGTGCCGGCCGGGCTGTGGGTCCGGGCACCCTGGGGTGGGCCGGGGGGGCCTGAGGCGCGGCCGGGCGCCGGGTGGTGTCGCTCTGTGAAAGAACCCTGGTTAGTTCACGCCGCGGGAGGAGCCGAGGTGGCCCGTGAGGCGTTCGCGGTGGAGATTCGGGTCCTGACGGGCCGTGGTACACGTAGGGTCCCTCCTGAGCATGTTTCTGTTTGTTTAAAGGGACCATTCATTACAGTCGACACACAACAATGTATTAGTTCCAGGTGCACGACATGGGGAGTGTTTTTCCTCTTCCTCCTTTTCTCTTCCTCCCCTCAGGACACTCTGGTCTGTCTGACAGACTGCATTTCAATTTCCTTGTCAGAATTTCTTTTCCTCTTAGTTTCTTATAAAATCGCATCATTGAGATATTTAAGATCGAGTCATAAATACTCCGCAGAAAAGTAGCGTCGTTGTGTTTCTGTATTGAAATCTGTATCAAAATGTGTTTAAAAAGTTCCAAGTATCCTGTCGGCTCCAGTTCCGTCTTCCAGCCACTGGCAGCTTTGATGGATCCGGACAAAAGTGAGTTTTTGGTCCAAGAAAACGGCGGTTGATAAACATGAATTTCCACGGAGGGGAAAGATGATGGGTGTTGGTCACCTCCGTGAGGTCATAAAGTGCCGAGAACCGTGAATCGGGCCGCGTTCCTGGCTCCTCAAGGGCTCCCTTCCCCCAAATAAATTGATCTTCAGTAATGTGTCTGTAGACTCGTTATTCTAATCGGGATGGAAATCTGTGTGTCTGTTTCTTCCTGATTACACTTCTTTTGTTTTTAAACTTTGTAAAATTTGAGTGTTTTTTTTTTTTAATTGCCTTATTTGCGTTGTAAACTTTCTTTAAACATTTTAAAAATCTTTATTGTTGAAAGTATTACAGGTGTGTAAACTCTTCTTTGTCTATAGGCTGGGCCAGTAATAAAAGTGAAAATTCCGAAAGATAAGGATGGTAAACCAAAGCAGTTTGCATTTGTGAATTTCAAACACGAGGTGTCTGTTCCTTACGCAATGAACCTGCTTAATGGAATCAAACTTTTTGGAAGGCCCATCAAAATTCAGTTTAGATCAGGTAACTCACTTAATGATGTTATTTGAGGAGAGCGATTATTTGCTGCTTTTGTTTTTAATTTTATTATTCAGTTTTAAAGAAACCTTTTATGGGTGAAAATACGTTAAGCTTTGTGAATAGTAAATAGTATCCCTGAAAATGGGCAACACTGACAACATGGATTTTGAAAGTTGTAATTTTGAAACCAAGTTTAAAATTTCAGTTTGGGTTAGTGAAAAGAACATAAACTTTATTATTAGAAAGACTTGGGTTTTGGTTCATGCTCCAAAAGAAGCAAGAATTATTTTCTGAAAAAACTTTTCCTGGCTGTAATTTACTTTTTTAAGTTTTGAATCTTGATCATGTGAGAATGAACCTTTGCATGTATCCGGTCTTACAATTTAGTATGAGGATCAGAATATTATGGCCAGAGTGGATATTTATATATGGGCTATTACCTTATTTGGGACTGTTTGTTTTGGCTATAGCTGCTAATTTACACTTAGAATTGTCACTCTGATGAAACTGTAAAGCAGTCTCTGTTAGCCTATGTCTACCTTTTTGGAGTGATTTGGGGTGGGGGAAGCAAAATTTCCAGTTAAATTTTCTATCAAGAAGAATTTCTCAAATTATTTTATTTTAGGAAGTAGCCATGCCTCACAGGATGTTAGTGTGCCATATTCCCAGCATCATGTTGGAAACTTAAGCCCTACCTCTACATCTCCTAGCAGGTAATATTTCTTTCCTATTGTTAAATCATTTATCAGGAATTTTCTTAGGTAGTGATCTCAGGACTAATAATGAGTGTTTGGTTTTCTTTTTATTGCTCCTACCTCTCTCTTCTGCTATACTGTTTCCTGTGTTGAATTATAGTTATTTATGTATCTGTTCTAAGGAGACTGTAGACTTATTCATTATATACAGTCCCCTTAAAACAGATACATCTGTAACTATATTTATGTTCATTTATAAAAACATACCCACACCCACATACATCTGTATAACAAAGTCTCAAAACATTACTTACCCTTATTACTTGCAATGTACTCAATTTTCATTTTATTTTATCTTTTAAAATTTAAATTAGTTTATGACCACTAATTGGTTACTTGCAGTTTAAAAATACATCTTAGTAAACAGGCTATTGCACTAGTTCATGGAACTGGATTCTAGATCTGCCTCTACCCATCATGTAACCTTGACTAGTCTCATTTCTCTGGTCCTTTCCTTTCATTTGTAAGGAAAAGAAGTTGAGTTAAATGATCTCTAAAACCCCTTCCAGCTCCTGAGGGTTAGAAAAGATACCATATTTGTATTTACTTAAATAATTTCATTTGCTTTGGGGAGGCTGACATTTTACCAGGGTCAGTTTTTTTTCCTGGTATATCCATAGAGCTATTTATCAATCATAATAGGCTTCATTCAAGAAAGAGTTAACCTGTCATATGTCACGTTCTTTACCAAGTTTTTGTATTTATGATCGCATTTATTCCTCACAGCAGTCTTATGGGGAGGGATTATTACTATCGCTTCCTTGTATATGAAGAAAATAAGGGTTGGAGGTTAACTTGCTCAAGTTTGAACTGCTCTTAAATTGCAGGCTGGGAGTCAAACCCAGGCAGTATGATCAAGCCCAGCCACTATCATGTGCTGCCTAGTGGAGTTTGAAGTCTAGATGAAGACAGAGGCGTATTTTGTAACTTCCTGTTTATTATAATTAGCTCTCTAAGGAGTAGAAAGTGCTTTCGAGCCCTGGCCCATGTGGCTCAGTGGTTTGAGCGTCACCCCACGCACTGAAGCGAAGGGTAGTGGGTTCGATTCCTAGTCACGGGCACATACCTGGGTTGCAGGTTCGATCCCCAGCCCTGGTCAGGGTACATGCGGGTGGTAACCAATCAATGTCTCTCTCTCACATCGATGTTTCTCTCTTTCCCTCCCTCCCTTCCACTCTGTCTAAAATCAATGGGAAAATGTCCTGGGTTGAGGATTAACAACAACAAAAGTGCTTGGAGAAAGTTGTAACAGGAGAGCCGACAGAAATGAATGAGGACCTGAAAGGGGGCAGTGCCCCTAGGTCGCAATGAATGGAAAACGGAGAGTAGGAGATGACACTGGTTAAGTAGATGGAGATGGGATGGTAGGGTCTTGCTTACAGGCTGTAGTTAGGATTTTGTGATGCTACCTTAAGAACTGTGGAAGGCACTGAAATGTTTTTTGTGGGGCAGTAATAGGAACAGGTTTGTATTTTATTCAATTTATTTATTTTAGATTTGTGTTTTAAAGAGTTGTTTGGTTGCAGTGGGAGAATGGATTGGAGGGACAGGGGTGAAAATGGAAAGATCAGTTAGGAAGCTTTGGGCAGCGGGGCAGCAAGGAAGGTGTTGGGGTGGGGTAGATGGTTTGGGTGAGGGTGGTGCCAGGAGCTGGAGAGAAGTAGATGGGTGTGAAGAGGTACTGCAAAGTGACATTGTAAGAAAGTGGTGGTGTAAAAAGGTACCCTCTCAGCATCCTTTCCTGCCCTCAAATTGTATCATACTTCTCAGTACCCTTGGAATTGGAAGTGTCTCCACACACTTTTACAGAACCTTCAAAGGTACTTTACGTGCAGAAAAAAGCTTTGTCCTCAGAATTTCGTGGGGGAAAAATATGTAAGTAAATACTTTATTTTAATCAAAGGCTTGAGCGTATATAATTTTTTATTTTTTACCCTTGCCCGAGGATATTTTTTCCATTGCTTTTCAGAGAGTGTGGAAGGGAGAGAGAGAAAGGAGGGGGAAGGAGGATGGGGGGGGAGCGAGAAACGTTGATGTGAGAGACAACATCACCTGGCTGCCTCTCGCATGTGCCCTCATGGCTGGGGATTGAGCCTGCACCCGAGGTAGGTGCCCTTCACCGGAATCGGACCCAGGACCCTTCAGTCCATGGACCAGTGAGTGCTCTAACCACTGAGCCAAACTGGCTGGGCAAGCGTATGTAATTTTTATACTCTTTTACCAATAAAATTAATACGTTTCACCCTTTTACCATACAGATATATAACTGATTTAAGAAAACTATAAAAGATCTAAACTGTAAGACGATCAGTTGGTGATTTGATTCCAAAGGCATGTTTTAAAATACAATTAATTTACAATGTTTTGTTTTTTTTAATCCTCACCTGAGGATATATTTTTCCCTTGCTTTTCAGAGAGAGTGGGGGGGGCAGGAAAACATGGATGTGAGAGAGACATCGATTGGTTGCCTCCACACGCGCCCTGACCAGGGCTGGGATCAATCCTGCAATCCAGGTACATGCCCTTGGCCGGAACTGAACCTGGGACCCTTCAGTCCTCGGTGGACACTAACCACTGGGCAAGACTGGTTAGGGCTCTAATGTTTTCTAAGTGAGTTTAGCTGTAGAGCAAGTTCTCTCTTCGGGAAGTGAGGAATAAAGTCCTTAAAATTCTGTTTATGTTACTGAACTCTTAACTTCTTACTCCTCAAAAACTGTTGCCTTCGCCTGTCTTGGTATATGCCTGCTTAATTGCTCAAACTAAGTATCTAGATTTCTTTTAAAAATTTCTTCTGTTTCCCTCATCTGCCATATCTAATCGATCAAATCCTTTTCTCTTGTGTTTTCATTTAAATACGTTTTTATTGATTTCAGAGAGAGGGAGAGAGAGAGAGAAACATCAATTATGAGAGAATTATCAATCGGCTGCCTCCTGCATGCCCCCTACCGGAGATCAAGCCGGCAGCCCCGGGTATGTGCCCTGATGGGGAATGGAACCCTGACCTTGTGGTTCATAGGTCAGTGCTCAGCCACTGAGCCACCGTGGCCGAGTAATCAAATCCTTTAGTTCTCCATCTAGCCCTTTGCACTATCCCAGGGATTGACAGTTTTCTTTTTCTGTAAAGGACCAGATAGTTAATATTTTTTTATTTTATTTTATTTTAATCCTCACCTGAGGATATTTGCTTTCAGGGAGAGTGGAAGGGGGAGAGAGAGACAGAGACAGAGACACATTGATTGGTGGTCTCCCGCACATGCCCTGGCTGGGGCCCAGGATCAAGCTTGCAACCGATGTATGTGCCCTTGGCCAAAATTGAACCCAGGACTCTTCAGTCCTTGGGCTGACACACTAACCACTGAGCCAAACTGGCTAGGGCCCAGATACAGTATTTTAGACTGCAGGTCATACAGTTTCTTGCTCTGCCATTGAGCGCTACATAGATAATACAAAAACAAAAGAGCATGGTAATGTTCCAATAAAACTTTCTTTACAAAAAATGATTTGGCCCATAGGCTATATGCTCAACCTGTGCTACTTCTTCCCTCAGCTGGAATATTTTTCTTCCAGGTAACCTTGTTGTTCAGCTCTTAACTTCAAATGTCTGTTTAGAAAGACTATCCCTGACCAGCCAAGCAAAAATAGAACCCCCGTCTCTCTCACCTCTACTTGCTCTTTCATCATTCAGTATACCACTCATAACGATGTGAAGTTGTCTTATTGTCAGAACCTTTACCCCAGCTCCATCAGAGCAGATAACCTTGTCTTGTTGATTATTACCTTTGAGAGCTGTTTCTGATCATGATTGGTAAGTAGTAAATTCTTGTTGAATGAATGATTATATATGTTGGTTTTTGTATTTTTTTGCAGATATGAAAGGACTGTGGATAACATGACACCATCACCACAGATAATTCAGAGATCTTTCTCTTCTCCAGAAAATTTTCAGAGACAAGCAGTGGTAGGCTGATTTTTCAACTTGAGTTGCTAAAAAAACCAAACAAAATCGTACTAAAAATGTTCAGATAATTCTTTTTTTTTTTTAATGAATTTATTGGGGTGACATTGGTTAATAAAATTACAGGTTTCAGGTATACAGTTCTATAATACATTGTCTGTATATTACACTGTGTGTTCTCCACCCCAAGTCAAGTCTCCTTCCATCATCATTTATCCCCACTGTACTCTTCTACCCACCACAAGCCCCCTTTTCCTCTCATAATTACCATACTGTTGTCTGTGTCTGTTTTTTGTGCGAGTGTGTGTTTCTTCTTAATCCCTTTATCTTTTTCACCCAGCCCCACAACCCCCCTCTCCTCTGATAGTCTGCTCTCTGTCTCTGTGAGTCTGTTTCTCTTTTGTTAGTTTACTTTGTTCATTAGATTCCACATATAAGTGAAGTGATATGGTACTTGTCTTTCTCTGACTGGCTTATTTCACTTACTGTAATACTCCCCAGGTCTATCTGTGCCATCTCAAAGGGTAATATTTCCTTCTTTTTTACGGTCAGGTAGTATTCCATTGTGTAAAGGTACCACAGATTTTTTTTTTTCTTCGCTCATCTACTGGTGGGCACTTGGGCTGCTTCCAAATGTTGGTTTTTACAAAAAATGCTGCAGTGAACATAGGGGTGCATATATTCTTTTGAATTAGTGGTTTGGGTTTCTTCGGATATATTCCCAGAAGTGGAATCTGTGGGTAAAGAGAGTTCCATTTTTAATTTTTTGAGGTAACTCCATATTGTTTTCCACAGTGGCTGCAGCAGCCTGAATTCCCACCAGCAGAGTACGAGGGCTCCCTTTTCTCCACATCTTTGCCAGCACTTGTTGTTTGTGGATTTATTGATGGTAGCCGTTGTCACAGGTGTGAGGGGTTTTTTTTTTAAAAAAACATCTTTATTGATTTCAGAGAGAGGAAAGGAGGGGTGGAGAGAGAGATAGAAACATCAGTGATGAGAGAGTCATTGATCAGCTGCCTAGCTTGCAACCTGGGCATGTGCCCTGACTGGGAATCAAACCCCAATCTCCTGAATCCTAGGTTGATGCTCAACCACGGTGCCATGCCTGGCCAGACTGGTGTGAGGTTTTGATTGCTGCTTTAATTTCATTAGTTGTAATCTCTCTGCTCAGATTTTCTGATTCTTCTGGATTCGGTTTTGGAAGATTATATACTTCTAGCAATTTATTTGTTTCATCCTGCTTGTTCGTAATATTTTTTCTTACAATTCTTTGTGTTTTAAGTTGTTGTTACTTGTCCTCTTTCGTTTCTGATTTTATTTATTTGGGTTCTCTCTCTTTTTTTCTTGATGAGTCTAATTAAAGGTTTGTCAGTCTTGTTTATCTTTTCAAAGAATGAGCTCTTGGTTTCATTGATCATTTGTATTTTTTTTTTATATACTCTTCATTTCTGCCTTGATCTTTATTATTATTTTTTCCTTCTACTCACTTTGGGCTTTGTTTGTTCTTTTCCTATTTCTTTAAGTGTAGAAATAGATTGTTTATTTGAGATTTTTCTTGTTTCTTCAGGTAGGCCTGTAATACTATGAATTTCCCTCTCAAGACTGCTTTTGTTGTGTCCCATAGATTTGGAGTGGTTGTGTTCTCATTTTCATTTTTTTCAAGATATCTTATTTCTTCCTTGATCTCATTGTTAACCCATTCATTGTTTAGTAACATCATTTAGCCTTCCGTGTCTTTGTGAATTTTTCAGGGTTTTTTGGTTTTTTTTTGTAGTTGATTTCTAGTTTAATACCATTGTGGTCAGAGAAGATGCTTGATAGGATTTCTTAAATTTATTGAGACTTGTTTTGTGTCCTAACATGTGGTCTATCCTAGAAAGTGTTCTGTTTGCACTTGAAAAGAATGTATATTGTGCTGCTTTGTGTTAAAATGCTTTGAAGATGTCAATGAAATCCATCTGATCTATTGTGTCATTTGAGGCTGCTGTTTCCTTGTGGATTTTCTGTCTGGAAGATCTATCGATGTCACTGGGGTGTTAAAATCCCTACTATGACTGCTGTGTTACGGTCAGTTTCTTCCTTTATGTCCATCAATATTTTCTTTAGGTCCTCCTATCTTGGCTGCATAAATATTTATAAGGGTTATATCCTCTTTGCTCTTTTTATCCTTATGTAGTGTCCTTCTTTGTCTCTTAATATAGCCTTTGTTTTAAAGTCTGTTTTGTCAGATATAACTTTTTACCCCAGCTATTTTTTCATTTATATGAAATATCTTCTCTATCCCTTTTTAGTATGTGTACCTTTCATTCTGAGGTGTGTCTCTTGTAGACAATATATATGGATCTTGTTTTCTTGTCCTTAGGACTACCCTATGTCTTTTGATTGACACATTTAAGCCATTTACATTTAAAGTGATTATTGATTGGTTTGTATTTATTTCCATTTTATTATTTTAACTATATTCCTCTTTTTTTTCTTCTCTTTTTTTCTCTTTTTATTGAATTTATTGGGGGTGACACTGATTAACAAAATTATAGAGGCACAACCTTCTTCTTAAAGAATACTCTTTAACAATTCTTACAATACTGGCTTGGTGGTAACAAACTCCTTTAGCGTTTTCTTGTCTGGGAACTTTTTTATTCTTCAATTTTAAACGATAACCTTGCTGGATAAAGTAGTCTTGGTTGTAGGTCTTTGTTTTTCATCATTTTGTACATTTCATGCCAGTCCCTCTGGCCTGAAATATTTTTTGCTAAGAAATCAGCTGACATTCTTAGGCAGGGAGCTCCCTTGTAGGTAACTAATTGCTTTTCTCTTGCTGCTTTTAAGATTCTCTCTTTGTCTTTAACCTTTGCCATTTTAATTATGCTGTGTCTTGGTGTGGACTCTTTGGGTTCATCGTGTTTGGGACTCTCTGCACTTCCCGGACTTGTGGTGTCTTTTTCCATCAGGTTAGGAACATTTCCAGCCATTATTGCTTCACGTGGATTCTCAATCCTTTGCTCACTCTCTTGTCTTTCTGTTACCCGTATGATGCAGATGTCATTATGCTTCATGTTGTCCAGAAGGTTCATTAACTGTATTTTAAAAAAAATTTTTTCTTTCTTGCTGATCTGGGTGTTTTTTCCTACCTTGTATTCTAAATCATTGATTTGATCTGCTGCTTTATCCAACCTACTGTTTATTTCTTCTAGTGTTTTCTCCATTTCGGATATTGTATTCTTTATTTCTGGCTGGTTCTTTTTATGTTTTTTATGTCATTTTTTATGCTTGATATCTGTTTTTAAAAAAACTTTTAAAATGAATTTATTGGGTACATTGGTCAACAAAATTATATAGGTTTCAAATGTACATTTCTAGTTTATTGTTAATCCTCACTTGAGGATATTTTTTTCCACTGATTTTTTTAAAGTGTAAGGGAGGAGGGTGTAGAGAGAGAGAGAAACATCGATGTGAAAGACAAATTGATTGGTTGCCTCTAGCACGTGCCCCAACCAGGGCCAAGAATTGAACCTGTGACCCTTCATTGCATGGGCCAATGCTCTAACCACTGAGCAACACTGACTAAGGCCAATTCTACAAATTTGGAAAGATTTTATTTGAGCCAGACTGACCACAGTGACTGGGAAGGAAGATGTCAAATGTTTCCTGATGTCTCTTCGTTGACATTCTCACTAATTTCCTTGAGCATCTTTATAATCTTTATTTTGAACTCTGTATCATTTCATTTAGCTCTTTTTCTGGAGATTTGTCCTGTTATTTCATTTGGGGCATTTTCCTTTGTCTCCCCCTTTTCACTGTCTCTTGTTGTTTGTTTCTATGNCAGTAAATTGCTTGCCTTCATTTCATTTAGCTCTTTTTCTGGAGATTTGTCCTGTTATTTCATTTGGGGCATTTTCCTTTGTCTCCCCCTTTTCACTGTCTCTTGTTGTTTGTTTCTATGTCTTAGGTAGATCTTCGATGAATTTCAGTCTTGATAGCAGAGCCTTATATAATAATAAGTGTCCTGTGGGACCCAGAGGTACAGTGTCCTCGATCATCTGAGCTGGGTGCTCCAGGAATTACCTTTATGTGGGTTATGTGGGCTTTCCTGTTGTAATTGAGCCTTCATTTTAATTGGCCAGTTCGTGCATGGGGTTGATCCTCAGTATGGCTGGCTATGAACCTCAGTGTATGAGCTCCTGTGAAGGTGGTGACCACACAGTGTGGAATTTGCTTCAGCAGGATCTGGTGCCTGCGGAGATCTCCCTTTGGATATGCTCCTTGTGAATGTAATTGGATCCTGCTATGATACTGCCTGTAGTTGGCCACTGGGTGTGTTGGTTCTGGGGCCTTCTGGGGACTCTGGTGCAGGCCAATATTCGATGCTGCCTGCCACTGGTCCTGGGCAACCTGTTTGGAGCTACAGAGTGCTCCACATTTTGTGGCTCCCTTTACTGGGCCTGGGTGTGTGCAGAAGGACTAAACTGTACACCAAGGCTGGCTTTTACTAGCACTGGGCCTGGGGGTAGGTCAGCAAAAGTCCCAAGGCACCCCAACATTTACCTTTGCCTTCCTTCGCCTATTGGCTGCCTGTTAGGCTCAGTCGCTGAAAGAGCCCCTTTGGTACTTGAGTTGCATCAGTTTGGTTCTCAGTGAGTCACCAGGTAGGGATGAGTGGTGTTCACCAGAGTGGTGATATAAGTTCAGACTCAGTGCCAATGCTGGGTCTGAGGCCACTTAGCAAATGTCCCAGTTATGCCACAACTAGCTGCCACCCGCTGGGTGTTCTCATACCTTTGTGATGTGGTGGGTTTTCAGGGAGTCATCAGGGTTAGGCCAGCAGAGTCTATCAGGCCTAAGCAGACCAAGGTTTGGCCCTGTGAAGGTGGGCTCTGCACTGCTCAGGTGTGTGAGGGTAAAATGGCCCCCATCCTAGAGCCACACAACTCAGTCCCAAATTTTACCTGGAGCTTGATCTTAGCAGGGTGAAATTTGGAAGGATGAGGCTAGTGGATCTCCCATGAGAGGGAGGTGCTGGCCAGGCTTGGAGGAAGATGGAGGGTGTGACCCCTGCCCCAAAGCCACACAACTCAGTGTGTCCTGAATTCTGCCCAGATGTTATCAGGGCAGAGCCACTGGGAGCCCAGAGAGTGGGACTGGTAAACCTCCTGTGAGGAAGAGGTGCCAGTCAGGTTCATGGGGAAGTGGGGGAGAGTGGCCATCCCTTCAAAGCCACACAACTCAGTCACTAATACCCCTGAGTGTACCCAGACCTCTACAGTTCAGCCTGGGCAGCTGACTCCTGAGCAGGGTGCAAGCTCTGTAGGGTGGGGCTATCAGTTCCCCAGGCTGATGCCATGTGGAGAAGAGTGCTGTGCCCAAGAAAGATGGCATCTGCAGTATAGGAGAATGACTCAGCATAGGTATGGTGGCAGCTGTCCCTTCAGCGCTCTCCTGAGTCACAAGTCCCAGTTGTTGCTCACACAACTCCAGTCTGCTTCCCCCTCCCTCTGCTGGAGCCCAGGGTGAGTGACCATGAATGACATTTCATGTTCTGGTCCTTTAAGAGGGCACCTGGCCCACCAGTGTGGCTCAGAAATTGAGTATCGATCTATGATTCAGGAGATCACAGTTTGATTTCTGGTCAGGGCACATGCCCGGTTTCAGGCTTGATCCCCAGCAGGGGTTTTGCTGGAGGCAGCTGATCAATGACTCATCATTGGTGTTTCTATCTCCCTCTCTCTCTCCCCCCCTCCCCTCCTCTCTCAGAAATCAATAAAGATATATTTAAAAAAAAACAAAGGGCATCTGTTTCTCTAGTAGACTCCTCTCTCTCCCTGGCAGACAGAACCCTTACTGATTTTCACAGCCAGGTGTTATGTGGGTACCTCTTCCTGGCTCTGGTGCTCTGGCTGGGGTGCTTGGCTTGGGGTTTAGACCCCACACACCTAAGGGGGAACCTGTGTAGCCGAGGTATCCATCCAGAATCTCAGCCACCACCCATGAGAGTGGGGCCAGCCCTATTCACATCTCCACCCTTCCTACCAGTCTCAATTTGGCTTCTTCTGTAAGTCCTTGGATGTAAGACTTTTCTTAAGCTAGTCTTCAGTTGGATGATTGTCCTGTGATTTAGTTGTAATTCCAGTTTTGTCCTGGAAGGAGGTGAGTGTAGCTCCACCTACTGTGCTGCCATCTTGGATCTCTGAGATAATTTTTAAGTTCACTTTTAAATTTTAGTTAGACTAGTATGATATTTGTAGATTGATCACACATTTTAGTTTTCACTGGCCTAAAATATATATTTAAAGATTGAAGACAGAACTGCATTTCACATTTTAGTTTTTTTCCAACAAGTGGGGTGTGTGTGTTTCAAATATTGGAAATTCATTCACTGTTCTTGCAACCCCATGTTCAGTGACTTTTATTTTTTATCATATACTCTTTTTAATCCTTAATATTAATACTTTAATATACTGGAGTCTTCTAAACTAGTTTCCTCTTGAACGTTCCATTTTTTCTGTAATAATATCACCATGAGGCTGTTTTATCTTTGTTTCCTCTCAGTTCCTAAGTCCTTCATTTTTGTTTTCTTTTTCTTACATTCATTTCCTTTTATTTTCTTTGCCCCAGTGACGATCTTGGCTTGCAGTCTCTAGCCTTTTGAATTTCTCAGGTCTACAAAATATAATAATGAAAAAAGTAGAATTGAGAGACCAATATAAAAGAATATCAACTTTTATGTACACATTATTTATTTGTCTCATTTTGCTGTAGGGCGTTAAAGAAAATGATCATTGGCTAATACTTATTTGCAAATAGAATTTTGGAACCACTCATCTAGTCTGTCAGCACTTTTCTCCATTTTATCCTCACTAGTGCATCTCACACATCATTTCAAATTTAACATTATAGCTGTTTTGCTTATCTTCCTGGCAATTTGACTTTTCAGCATTTGCCAGATGAAGTCAGAATTCTCTAGCCTGCTTATTAGGCACCCCCATGGTATAATTCAAATAAATCTTTCTAACCTTACTGTCCATTCACCATTTGTGAGATCGATACCTGTTTCAGCCAGCATTTACTTGCTATTCTATGAACTCACTCAGTGTTTTCCTGTTATTTTTGTTTGTGCAATTTTCTTTCCTTGGCCTACTTCCCTCAAAATATTTTCCTTAAAATAGTGCCTTCGTACTTTTAATACCCAGATCATATCCCACCTTCATGAAGCCTTTCCTAATGATACTGAGCTCATGGCTCTTATAATTTCATCACATAGTGATTCATATTATAGTTATTTTATATGACTTCTTCCCTTCTAAATTGTATTCTTGAGGGCAAGGAGTACTAATTATGTGCAAATAGCTTGTAGCTGTACAGTGGAATGAATGAAGCTATTGTATTGTACTACTTTTAGTTATGTTTAACTTAAGATCCATCTAGGCAAGAGTGATTTTGCTTTTCTGTCATTATTGGTTTGGTTAACTCACCAACTAGCCATTGGCTTTGATATGTAGAAATATTTGCAGTGAACATTTCCATCTTTTTCTCTTCCTTCAGATGAACAGTGTTTTGAGACAGATGTCATATGGTGGGAAATTTGGTTCTCCACATCATGATCAATCAGGATTTTCCCCATCAGTTCAGTCACATAATCATAGTTATAATCAATCTTCAAGCTCCCAGTGGCGTCAAGATACACCGTCATCACAGCGTAAAGTGAGACAGACTTCTCATCCCTATACAGCAGACCGACACTATAGCCGCGAACAGCGTTACTCAGATCATGGGTCTGACCATCATTACAGAGGAAACAGAGATGATTTCTTCTATGAAGATAGGAATCACGATGGCTGGAGCCATGACCACGATAACAGAAGAGACAGTAGTAGAGCTGGAAAGTGGCATTCATCTCGAAACTAACAAGTGTTCAAAGGACATTGTTTTTATAGGGTCATTCTAGGCTCCTTTGATTAAGTTGATCTGGGAATGTTTTGTTAAAACTGTACAGAGCAGTTTTACAAGTTGCCACGTTTCTTTATAAAATTTTTAAAATCTATAGGTATAGTCTAATACAGAAATGAGAATTGTGGTTCTAATTTTTACATTAATAACCTTTCACCTCAGGGCTTCATGAAGAGGAAAGGGTTTTATGCAAAAGAAAGTGTCACAATTCCTAATCGTTTTTACAAATTGAGGAAGGGATGTATTATATGGATTGGTTGTATTATAAAGCAGATATTTTAATGATCTGTTATCTATTGTATTGCAAGAACCTGGTTATTAAGAAAACAACCTGCTTATTAGTGAGTCACATTTTGTGTATATAATAGAAAACACTCAAGTTGGTAGTCTAAAGTAGTATTTTGTTAATGAGAAAATGTAATTTCATTGATTCATTTTACTAACATTTGAGAAAACTTACTGGTGAAGATTGGGAATAAATCATACTGTTTAACTACTTAGAGAACGTGAGTGTAAATTCTGTGACATGTGCTTTGAGTTTTACCCTAGTTGGACATCAAGTGTAAATATACAAAATCTACATTTGCTATTTCATTCTAAAATGTTAGAATTTTCTCATTAAATCATGTTTGACTGAATAACTGGTCACTCAGGAAGTTAATATCTCTAAATGTATATTTTTTATATTAAAAATAGTGTTAGTGTAAGTCCCCCCCTTTTCAAGAAGAACAAAAATGCAAATGCACAGATATAATAGTAAAATGGTTTACTGAAAGTATACTTGCCTGGGGAAGGTTCACAAGCCTTTAAGTGCTGCCTCTATTACTCAAACTTTAAAAATACTCAATTTTCAGAGTGCCCAGGGCATGTGTGCAAGGACACATTTTATTATGGGATTGTCTTTTTGTTTAAAAATTTGGAGAGTTAAGTCTTAAACATTTTCCGATTTAAAAATTTTTAAATCTTGTTTAATAAAACTTTTTATGTATCGAGATGTTTTCCTTTCATTGTAGAACTTGTTTATATAAATTCATTCCTCGATATATTTAGAACCTTTTTAATAACTACAGCATTTGTACTATGTTACTTTTTAATATATTGAAAACATAAAAAGGAGTGTGTCTTATTTTTTTAAATATTTTTATTAATTTTCAGAGAGAGAGGAAGGGAGAGGGGGAGAGAGAAACATCAATGTGAGAATGGAATATCGATTGGCTGCTTCCTGCATGCCCCTGCCAGGGAACGAGCCCACAACCTGGGTGTGTGTCCTGACCAGGAGTTGAACTGGCAACCTTTCAGTGGACAGGAGGACACCCAACCGACTGAGCCACACCAGACAGGGCTCTTAGTTTTTTTTATGTCACTATGGAGACTTTTACACAGAAAGTTAGAAACATACTTTTATTCAGTGATTGCCTGAATAAAAGTTATATGAGTGTTAAGTTACATGAGTTCTTTAGAGCACCTTAGGAAATACACGTTTTGTATATATTGAACTTAATATTTTAGGGTCAGATTTTCAGTGACACATGTATTATTGTTCAATCACTATAATCTCCCTGGTCTCTAGGAATTTATGTACATTTATGTTTTCTGTTTCTAAATGCATGCCCTTTTCTGTCTAGATAAAGAGCTACTCAACTATTCAGCACAGAGAGCATTAAGATCAAAAGTTTGTTTTCTCAAGCAGTTTAATAGAAGAATTTGTTTCCAATAAACCTGTTATTTTCAAGTGTCTTATGAAAATTTATTCAGTAGCATTTGTAGATATTAACAAAGGTTAATACTGCTTGACTGCCACTTATATGTGGGTCAGGTCCTTTCATATTAATTCACAGGTGATCCTGGTTTAGAAGAGTCTTTTTCTTTCCAGTGGCTTTGGGGCACACCTTGTGAGGTTCACTTTAATCTCACCTAGTTGGAAGTAACCAAACTAAATGTACTGTGTAAAGGGATAGAACAAGACATCCCTAAAGAGTTGAATATAGTTGGTGGGAAAATTGACCTAGGTCTTGAGAGCTACAGGAGTAAAGAGGAGGAGATTGTAGGAGAGCAGATTCTCCGGAGTGTGTTCCATGACATACTCTCACGTCGTGTTCTGCAAAATAAGCGTTCTGTAATCAAATGTTTGGCAAATGTGCAAATACTGTGACTTTCTCATAGAGAATGATAGGGAACAGCACCACGAAGCTGCTGACCAGTACTACAGTAAAGAAATCTGTTTATATTTAACCTCGTCTTTTCCACAGTTACGTGACCGTCATTTTACTCTGCCCCTCTCCATCCAATCAGCCGTAAACATTTTCTATTACTTTCTGATTGTGTTGTGCAGGCCCATGTTCCCTTTATCAGCTGCCACCATTGTAGGGTGGGTGATCCTTGCAACAGGATTACTCCCAGCAGCACCCTAATGTTTAATACCAATTTATATATTCCATGATACCCTGTATTTCTCTGCATGTAGCCTTTATACTGTATTTTCTTTTTACTTATATCTTTAGATAGCTCCATGAAGGCAGACACCATATGTTATTCACTGAATTTGCAGTATCCAGTGTCTGGCATATATACAATACTTGGCAAATTTTTAAAATCCTTACCCGAGGATATGTTTTTATTGACTTTGGAGAGAGAGGAGGGGGAAGGGGAGAGAAAAACATTGATGTGGGAGAGAAACATTAATTGGTTGCCTCCTGTATGTGCCTTGACCAGGAGATTGAACCCGCAACATAGGTATGTACCCTGACCAGGAATCAAACCTGCAGCCTTTTGGTGTACAGGATGGTGCTCCAGCCAACTGAGCCATCCAGCCAGGACTACTTGGTAAATATTTGATGAGTGGATGATGGAACATATAACAAATAATCAAATTTTAAAAAGATTCAACATAGACAATTTTAAAATAGATTTGCTAACCCTGAACCATTATTGCATTCTATTATTAAAACTGTATCTCAATATATTGTGCATTTAATACACTCTAGAATTCTGTTTGCTTTTCAAATTTTTAAGAATTGGACCTTTAATTATGAGGCTTTCTTTAAAAAATTAGTTTGGTTTTGGAATTACAGTTCTGCTGGTTTTGTAGAATGAGTTGGTAAGCTTATCTTTTTCAGTGCCCTGAAAGAAATTTGAATAATACAAGAGCTATGCCCAGTCGGTGTGGCTCAGCAGTTAAGTATCGGCCTAGGATTCAGGCGATTGAGGTTTGATGCCTGGTCAGGGCACATGCCTGGGTTGTGGGCTTGATCCCCAGTGGGGGATGTGCAGGAGGCAGCCGATCAATGACATCACTGGTGTTTCTCTCTCTCCCTCTCCCACTCTCTAAAATGAATAAAGACATTTTAAAAATAATAATACAGGAGTTATGTTTCTAGAACACTTGTTGAACTCATTAATGAATCTATTGGGGTCTTAGAAGTAACTCTGATTCCCTTCTCATTTTCCTTTGTGGTTATTTATTTATGTTTTCTACTTTCTCAGGAGTCAATTTGGATACCTTCTATCTTTCTAAAAGAACCAACCTTTTTTGTTTCCACATTAATTGTTATAGAGTTAAATGTAGTATTTCTCATAATTTTTGTAAAACTTTAGAGTTCACTTTTTAATTTAATTTTTAAAATTTTTATACTTGTTTTATTTCTCATATATATTTTACCTTCCTCCTGCACCCAGATTTGCTAGAGGTTGTGCTGTTTATATGTTTTACATTCACATATGTATAAGCCCCACACTGCATGGTTAAAAACAGATTTTCTTTTAAGGAGATTTAAATAAAAAACTACATATTTTTTTCAATAGTTGCCATTTCTGTAGCTCTCCTTACCTTTGTGTAACCCATTTATCCATCTGGTATTCTAGAAGAACTCGATATATATTTTAATATATATTACTTGATTTCGGAGAGAGGAAGGAGGGGAGAGAGAGAAACATCAATGATGAGAATCATTGATTGGCTGCCTCCTGCACACCCCTGACTGGGGATTGAGATGGCAACCTGGGCATGTGCCCTGACCGGGAATCAACCGTAATCTCCTGGATCCTAGGTTGATGCTCAACCACTGAGCAACACCACCTGGGTTCTTGATATTTTTTTACAGTGCAGGCTTGCTGGTGATGAATTATTTTAGCTTTTGTATGTCTGAAAAAGTCTTTTTCACCATTTTTGAAATACATATTTTTATGCTGGATATAGAATTTTAAGCTGACAATTTTTATTCTTTGAATACTATAAAAATGTGATTCCACCTCTGGCCAGTGTGGCTAAGTTGGTTGAGTGTCATCCTGCACACCAAAACGTAGCAGGTTTGTTTCCCAGTCAGGGCACATACCTAGGCTGAGGATTTGATCCCCATCCCCTGTTGGGGCAGATGTGGGAGACAAATGGTCCATATTTCTAACACTGATGTTTCTCTCTCCCTCTCCCTCTCTCTCTCTCCCCCCCTTCCTCCCTCCCTCCCTGCCTCAAATCAATAGGAAAAATACCCTCAGGAAAAAATAATAATTAAATTAAAATGTGGCTCCACTGTCTTCTCACTTCCACTTCTTCCTTAAGAAATCTGTCGTACATAATGTGCTGTTTTTCTCTGGCTGTTTTGAGCAATTTATGAAGTGCCTTACTGTAACTTTCTTCATATTCCTTTGGCTTGGGGTTCATTGACCTGTCTGTTTATCATTTTCATCAAATTCGGAAAATTTTGGCCATTATTTGAAATTTTTTTTTTTTTTTTTTTTTTTTTAAATTTT